TCGCGAATGAAGGGAGCCGGCAAAGGATCAAAGGCCAAAGTAGCTCCAAAGGGCAAGGCCGGATCGAAGTCGAAAGCAGTCAACAAGAACTCCAAGGCGAAGGCAACTGGCAAGTCCCGAAACACCTCAAAGGGCAAAGCTCCCACCAATCGAAAGACGCCCGCGAAGGGAAAGACGTCGGTGAAGAGTAACGCCGGGTCCAGAGGCAAGAAGGCTACGCCTGCTCGCAAGACCGCCAAGGCCAAGGCTGCACCCAAGGGCAACACTCGATCCAAGAGCGTCAACCGTAGCAAGACCAATGCCAGCAAAGCGAGACCCGCTATCAAAGGTCGAACCTCCTCACCCAAAGCCAAGGGATCTACTTCCAGACCTGCGAACCGTGGAGCCGCGAGGAAGGCCAATGTATCGAAAGCTCGACCCGCTCCAGCGAGGAAGGCAGCTCAGCCAAAGAAGAACTCGTCTACGAGACAAACTGCGCAAAGGAAGGCAACACCAAAGCAAGCCGCACCTAGGAAACAGGCAGCTCCCAAAGCTGCAGCAAGGCCGGCAGCCCCCGCTCCCAAAAAAGTGACAGCTCCTGTCAAAGCTGGCAAGAAGCCACGGTAGATCAGACGGACATCTCTACAGGAGCATTCTCTTAGCGGATTAGATGCTCAGTGTATTTATTCTTTTTTATATACATTCCTCATGATAACAACACATGCACCGATCAGACTAAACTACTTGGACATTAAAGTTTGTTTGTTCGTCCGAGTCTATCTCTTGACTCGGGTTATGCAGTAGTGACTGGGTGGTGGTGAGTTGCCGGTGGATGACAATGGACAATTCTACAACATTTGTCGTAGCATAAACTGACCTCTACATGTGTAGGATATGTTGATATAACCAACCGGGATTTGGGCATCGATGTGATATGGTCTACTCTTTCTGTCTCAATCTCTCACACGATCCCATTGTCTCAGGTGATGTGTGGCCGGTGATACTCTGGTGGAGAATGAACCATAATATGGAGGCGCGTCGCCCAACCTTTCTTTTTTTCTTTTTTGATTGGGTAAGAAAAAAGAGTCGATCTATTGGGACTCCATTCATTCTCGCCACAGAGCGACGGTTAGTGTGGCCAGAGCTAGCGTACGTTTGGCCGCTAGTCTCCCGCGCCCAACCTTCGACCACAACACAAATCAGTGCAAACCACGACAGGCCTTTCTCCCTCGGCCCATCCACAGCGATTGTAGTCCGTCATGAAGATCGTTTGGGAAGAACTAAAGTACAACACTTTTGGCCATCTCTGACCGGAACATGCTCATCGACAACGCCACCAGGCGGTACCGCCGCAACTCTAAACACCATTGTACCATAATTGCCTACTATTTAACCAAGGACGAGGTGACCCATGTATCCCCAGAACAGTTTTTGTCTTCACTTTGTCGCGG